TTTTTGAGTTCGAGTCTCACTCTGTCACCCAGGCTGGAGGGCAGTGGCACACTCACGGCCACCTCAGCGTTGATCTGCTGAACTCAGGAAGCGATCCTTTTGTCTCAGCCTTCCAACCACCTAGAACCACAGGCATGTACCATCACACCTGGCTAATTTTTCTTGATGTATTGTAGAGATGAGGTCTCACTGAGTTGCTCAGGCTGGTCTCGAACCCGTGGGCTCAGGCAGTCCTCTAACCTTGGCCTCTCAAAGTGCTGGGATTATAGGCATGTGATTTTATTTATTTTTTTATTATTATTATAAAGATGTGGGGTACAATTCGGAGTTAGGTATACAAACGTTGGTTATGCAGGTACCGTTGTTGATAAGGTAGATTCTAATAAGCCTGGTTCCAGAGCACGGCACAGCAAAATTTCCACCATATTCATTGGTCAGAGCAGTCACTAAGTCACTCCTGTTCAAGAGGCAGAAGTGCAGACCTGACCTCTTTAAGCCACCACAATGCCAGGTGGTGGTATGTGATTGGAGAGAGTCCTAAACAGAAACCTTGCCCCTCACCTGTCCCCATATACCATGGAAGATGTCCTATTTTTTTATTCATTAGCCATGAGGCCCCAGGCGGAATGTAATTTTTGTCTCCGTGGGTTGCCTCAGTGAACCATGGGAAACATGAATTCTCCAATATTGTGCTCTAGGCGTGCCAGCCCAATGGTAGTTCCGTCTTTTTCTCCTGCAGTCTAAGGCAGTCTGGGAAATCAGCCCGGTCTTTAACCCCTGCCCCAGAGCATCAGGGGAAATGCAGTCCTGTCCTTACTCTCTTCACTGCAGCTCAAGGGAGTTCTGGCCATCAGGTTGTCTCCTGTCCCGGAGCACCCTGGGAAATGCAGACATGTCTCCTTACAACAACAAAGCAGTTCCAACTTTTGAGGTTTGGGAGAGGAGACTGGCAGGTTAGTGTTGGGTGAGTTGGAAGGTTGCACTTGGAGGTCAGAAATGGATGTGGAGGCAGCTTAGGGCAGAAGCCACAGGGATTGCTCCCTAGGCAGGGGCTTCAAATGCTTGGGTTCTACAACATGACCTCTAATTCCAGGAGCCTGTGGAAAGGTGGCCCCACCATTCATCCCCACAAAGAGACACTGGTCTTGTTCACTGGTACAAAAATCTTTATTTAAGTATAAAAAATTTTTTATTTAGTATAAAATAAATAATATGAATATTAATTAATAATAACACAAAATAGCGGCAATAATATTAATAATAACAAGAGCTGTCCTGCTGGCCAATAGCCTTTCTCCAGTTTTTCCCCTCTGGTTCTCACACCTCTGTGAAATAGGTGTTTTTTCTTTTCCCTTTTGTTTAAAAATAGCGACGGGTGTCTCACTGTGTTGCCCAGGCTGGTCTCAAACTCCTGGGCTCAAGCAGTCCTCCTGCCTCGGCCTCCTAAAGTGCTAGAATTACAGGTGTGAGCCACCACACCCGGCCAAGAGAGGTGTTTTGACAGCTGGGGAAACTGAGGCCCAGAGTAGTCAGCACATTGGCCTGAGGTGACACAGCACGTCTAAAGGGCTGGGAGCTGAGGGAGGGGCAAAGAGGTCCCCTGGATCCAGCCAGGGCAAGGAGGGGAGGTTTGGGTTCAGGTCCAGAGGAGAGTGCCTCCCCACAGTCTGGCGGTCATGAGCAGGGTGACGGTGAGGCTGAGACGGGCAGGGCCATGCGGGGGGCCACCCCCACTGCGGTGCTGGATATCCTGGCCTGGGTAGTTACAGCTACTTGTGGTACAGCACGAGACCCTGAGTTGGGTCAGGCTGAAGGCGTCAGCCACATGGAGGCTTTGGCACCAGGAGGCGGTGGCACAGCCTCTTACCGTATAGCCGGGGCTCCCTAGACCTGAGGAAAGAAAGACTGAGTGAGACTCCCAGCTCGTGGGCATGGCCTGGAATTCTCAAGTACGTGACATGCCGCCTTGTGGCGGGGGCCACCTAGAGAAAGCAGCAATTCTCAAAGTGTGGCACAGGGACCCACTTCAGGAAAGCAGTGAAGTCAAAATGATTCTCATGATAATACCAAAACATTTGGCTTTTTCGCTCTCCTAAGTGTACGATGGAGTTTTCTAGAAACTCCAGGACATGTGATATTGCAACAGACTGAAAGCAGAAGCAGCTGTCTTCTATTAAACCAGACATGAAAGAGATGTGCAACACAGTAAAACAATGTCAGCCTTTTCATTACACTTTTTTCATTTTGGAAAATAGTCATTTTTCATAAAAGTAGGTTATTTATAATATAGTCATTTTTCATAAAAATAGGTTACTTATATTAACATGTAATGAGTTCTTATCGTTATTTTATTTTTTTGAGTTGGAATCTCACTGTCACCCAGGCTGGAGTGCAGTGGCACACTCACGACCACTGTAGCCTTGACCTGCTGGGCTCAGATGATCCTTCTGCCTCAGTCTTCCAAGTAGCTGGAACTACAGGCATGTGCCACCCACACCTGGCTAATTTTTTGATTTATTGTAGAGATGAGGCCTTGCCAAGTTGCCCAGGCTGGTCTTGAACCCCTGAGCTCAGGCAATCCTCTCACCTTCACCTCCCAAAGTGCTAGGATCACAGGTGTGAGCCACCGTGCCCAGATATTGTTATTTTAAAGTGAATTAATATCTAAATCTTTTTTAAAATTATCAGTTTTTCTTTTTTCTTTTTTTTTGAGTTGGCGTCTCACTCTGTCACTCAGACTGGAGTGCAGTAGCCGCTTCCAGCCACTGCAGCCTCGACCTGCTGGGTTCCGGCGATCCTTCCGCCTCAGCCTTCCAAGTAGCTGGAACTACAGGCGCGCGCTACCACGCCTGGCTAATTTTTTTGATTTATTGTAGCGATGAGGTCTTGCCTGCCCAGGTGGGTCTCAAACCTGCGGGCTCAGGCAATCTACTCACCTCAGCCTCCCAAAGGCATGGGATTACAGGCTGAGCCACCGAGGCCCGGCTAGGGGCTTTTATTTTATTTAATTAATTTTTTTCCTTTTTGTTGATTTTTATTTTTTGCTTTTAGAAAAGAAATGGGGGCCGGGTGTGGTGGCACATGCCAGTAGTTCCAGCTACTTGGAAGACTAAGGTGGAAGGATCACCTGAGCCCAGCAGGTCGAGGATGTGGTGGCCAGGCTGGGCCACAGAGTAAGACTCTGACTCAAAAAAAAGCAAAAACAAACAAACAAAAAAGAGATGGGGTCTATGTAACCCAGGCTGGTCTTGAACTAGTGGCCTCAATCCTCTTGCCTTGGCCTCCCAAAGTGCTGAGATTACAGCGTGAGCCCCCATACCTGGACAAATTTCTCAGTTTTAATTTTTTTGGGGGGGAGAGTTAATGGACATAAAACAGGTACTTCGTTTTCGATTTTATCCATTAAAAAAAAAATTTACTGTAGAGAAGAGGTCTCGCCAAGTGGCCTGGGCTGGTCTTGAACCTGCGGGCTCAAGCAATCCACTTGCCTCGGCTTCCCAAAGTGCTGGGATTATAGGCTGAGCCACCGAATCTGGCCTTTATTCAATTTTTATAAGTCTGTGTTATCTCTAACTTCAGCTTACTCTAACATTAATTTATGATAAACCAGACAATTATTAAAATTAGCCATTTCTCAGAACATACCTTTGGAATCATAGAAATGCACAATTAACCTCATCTAGTCAAAATCTTCACTCAAGTGATGATAAACAGTCTACCATCAGTTTTACTTTCTAATGCAGTCTATACAAGTATATACAGAAACTACTGAAGTAAACAATAATTTTTAAAATCATGAAGGAGTCAAGACCACAAAGTTGGCCGGGTGAGGTGGTTTATGTCTGCAATCCCAGCACCTTGGGAGGCAGAGGTGAGAGGATTGCCTGAACCCAGGGGTTCGACCGGCCTGGGCAACATGGTGAGACCTTGTCTCTACAATAAATCACAAAAACTAGCCGGACGTGGTGGTGTGTTCCTGCAGTTCCAACTATTCAGAAGGCTGAGGCAGAAGGTCAAGGCTGCCTGAGCCCAGCAGGTCAAGGCTGCAATGGCCGTGAGCGTGCCACTGCACTTCAGCCTGGGTGAGAGTGAGACTCTGACTCGAAAAAAAAAAAGAAAAAGACCACAAAGATTAAGAACCACTGGAATAGACAGACCTTCCCAGGATGTCACTGGACGAAAGCCTGAATGTCCACCGCAATCCCGCCCCCTACAGGAAATCCTGCCGCCAAAGAATCCCACTTTTCTATGATAGAAATGTCCGTTTCCTGACAGACAAGTTGTACTCCCTTACTATAGTGTGCATCCTCCGGAGGGAAGTTCCACCTCTTCCACGGGGAGCTCCACCTCGGTGAAGTCCAGCTAAACTGGAAGCCTACCTCTTGCAGAAGCGCTTTTCCCACAATAAGTGTCCCCTCCCAGCCTCCCAAAGGGCCTCACCAGTAGTACCAGTGGCTTCCAGACATTGATCCATGGGGCCTCGGCAGTCGATGAGGGAAGTCTCTTTGGAGGAGCACCCATGGGTGCTGTTCCCCTCACAGCTGTGACACTGGATGCCGTTCTGTGGCAGGTTTTCAAGCTCCAGCACTTAGGAGAGGACAAGAAACACAAGACCCAGGAAATTAGCGCTTGGGTCCCTCCTTCCCTGCCTCCCCAGGACTCCCACGCTCAGCCTGAGATGTCATGGAGCCACCTTGTGGTCAGGCATTTGTTTTGTTTTGTTTGAGTTGGAGTCTCACTGTGTCGTCCAGGCTGGAGTGCACACAGCTACCGCAACCTCGACGTGCTGGCCTCAGGCGATCCTTCCGCCTCAGCCTCTGGAGTAGCTGGGACTACAGGTGTGTACCACCATGCCTGGCGAATTTTTAAAATGTTTTGTAGAGATAAGGTCTCACCAAGTCACCCAGGCTGATTTCGATCCCTGGGGCTCAGGCAATCCTCTCACCTCAGCTTTCCAAAGTTCTGGGATTACAGGCATGAGCCACCGCACATTTGAATGGCACTTTTTAGGGGGTGTTCTGGAGGGCTTGAGAGAGACCCCTAACTCCCAACTCCTCACAAGCCCCAATTCTGGTCATGCACTCTGCTGGGCACTGGGTAAGTAACTGTGCCAACCATCCCTACCCTCATGGAGCTTACAATTTGGAGCCACTCCACCCAATAGGGCACCACTGGGCCATGTGTGGTTGTTTAAATTTAAATTTACAGCCAGGTGCAGTGGTTCACACCTTAATCCCAGTTACTTGGGAGGCTGAGGCAGAAAGTTCACTTGAGGCCGGGAGTTTAAAACCAGCCTGGATAACACAGTGAAACTCCATCTGTACAAAAAATTAATTAGCTAGGCGTGGTGGCACATGCATATAGTCCCAGCTACCTGGAGGCTGAAGAGGGAGGATCGTTTGAATTCAAGAGTTCAAGGCTGCAGTGAGCTAGGACTGTGCCACTGCACTATAGCCTGGGCAGCAGAGTAAGACTCTATCTCTAAAAAAAATTTTTTAAATAATTTTTAAAAAGCTAAATGTATTTTTATTTTACTTATTTTGTATATATATGTATTTATTTATTTTGAGACAGGGTCTCACTCTGTCACCCAGGCTGGAGTGCAATGATGTGATGATCCCAGCTCACTGTAGCCTCAACTTCCTGGGCTCAGGTGATCCTCCCACCTCAGCCTCCCAAGTAGCAGGGACTACAGATACATGCCACGATGCCCAGTTAACTTTTTTATTTTTTGCAGAGAGGGGGGTCTCACTTTGTTGTCCAAGCTGGTCTTGAACTCCTGGGCTCAAGAAATCTTCCTTCTTTGGGAGGCTGAGGCAAGAAGATTGCCTGAGCCCAGTAGGTCAAGGCTACAGTGGCCGTGAGCATGCCACTGCACTCCAGCCTGGATGACAGAATGAGACTTCAACTCAAAAAAAAGAAAAAGAAATCTTCCTACTTCAGCCTCCCAAAGGGCTGGGATTACATGCATGAGCCTCTGTACCAGCCATCTTGCCTAGATTATTGCAATGACCACTCCACTGGTCTTCCTTCTTCTACCCTGCCACGACCCAACCCAGCAGCAAGAGTGTTTTATTTACTTTTTTTTTTTTTTGAGTTCGAGTCTCACTCTGTTGCCCAGACTGGAGTGCAGTGGCCGCTCCCGGCCACCGCTGCCTCGACCCGCTGGGCTCCAGCGATCCTTCCGCCTCAGCCTTGCAAGTAGCTGGAACTACAGGCGCGCGCTACCACGCTTGGCTACTTTTTTGATTTATTGTAGAGATGAGGTCTCGCCTGCCCAGGCGGGTCTTGAACCAAGAGTGTTTTTTTTTTTAAATGCCAATCAGTTCACAGGGCTCTCCTTTCTCAAGCACTTTAACAACTTCCCCTTCCCCTTAGAATAAGATCCAAGGGTTTTACTACACAGCTGGTGTAAGTCACCACCTGTCTGAATCAGAATTTTGTTTCATTTCTACAACCACTAAATCCATGTGCAGTGCCCTCCCCAGGGACATGTCTGCCCCAAGAGTTCACGTCTGCAACTTCTCATGCATTAGGTCTCAGCTTTGCTCCCTCGCCCCCACTCCCTGTACTTTTTTTTAAGTTGGGTCTCACTCTGACACCCAGGCTGGAGTGCAGTGGCATGATCACGGCTCACCACAGCCTCTACCTCCTGGGCTCAGGCGATCCTTCCACCTCAGTCTCTCGAGTAGCTGGGACTATAGGCACCATTCTGCCCTGCTGATCCTTAAATTTTTTTTTGTAGAGATAAGGCGATGGCAGTGGTGGAAGGACTCAAGAGAGATATAATGGGCAGAAAACACAGGTCTTAGTGAGAGGCTGATAATCTCATGGAATTCCCACAAGATCCTTCTTTGAAGAAAGGCTTGGAAGGCCCATTTTTCAGAAACAGGCCCGGCGAGGAGTGGTTTGTCCGAGAGTGACTGTGCGGCAGTCTGCCTAAGCATGCCTCCCTGTCCCACCCTGGCCCTGGCACCGGGTCCCCTGCCTCTTACCTGGGCCCCTGTTGCATTTGGTGGTATTACAGCACTGCAGGAAGTGGAAGGTGTAGTTATTGTGGAAGCCAGTGGGGCCAGGGCAGCCAGGGAGGTAGCCACAGCCACGGGAGTGTGTCTCATCATTTAGAGACCCTTTGGGGGATAGAGGAGAGAGGTCAGAGGTCAGATTGGAGATGAGGGGCTGAGACTGGATTTGCCCAGCACAGCCAATGGCATTCAACCAGTCTCTGCTTCACTTTTCATCTTATTTATGGCAGTCATATACCTAGTGGAACGACTATGTTTTCTGGCCTCGCTAGGTATAGTCATGTGATGAAGTTCTGGCTAATATGATATAAGTAGAAGAGCTTTATGAAGACTTCCATAAAGGAAAACTCTACAAAAGGAGGAGTATCCCCTTTTTGCTCCTCCTTTCCCCCTTTCTCCTTCCTGGAATTTAGACGTGAAGCCTGAAGCTCTGGCAGCCATCTTCAACTACGAGGCAGTCATGAGAATGGAAGTGATATGTAAGGAACGAGAAGGCATCTGGGTTCCTGGTGACCCTGAAACAGTTCTAGTGGCCCTAGACTTCTTATCCCTGGACTTTCTGTGTGTGAGAGAACTTTCTCCCTTGCTTAAAGCCCTGCTGTTTGGAGGTCATTGTTTTTTTTTGTTTGTTTGTTTGTTTTGAGTTGGAGTCTCACTCTGTCACCCAGACTGGAGTGCAGTTGTTAAGTGCAGTCTTGGGGAGGAGTGAAGCAGGAATGAGAGGTCGCTGGCAGGTTGTGGCTTACCTTCCAGGGTCCGGTGGGTCACCACCTCCAGGCACTGCTCCCCGGGACTGCGGCACTGCAGGCTCTGGTGCCGTCCCCTCTCGCAGCTCATGTCCGAGGTGGCGCAGGAAATGCATTCGAGGTAGCGGCCCCGGGGAAAGGTGGTAGGCTGGCCTGTTTAGAAGAGGGCTGGGGTGAGACTCCATGGGGACAGTCCCGGGGCCACAGCTCCCTGAGGGCTCAGCTCAGCATTGGCTCCTCCATGTCCCATCTTCCAGTCAATCACCACCCCTGTCCATTCGGCCTCCTGCATCTTCCTAGAGCCCATCCTCTCCTTTCCAGCCCCATATCAGCTCCTACCTCTTTCCATCCCTGTCACCCCTACCCCATCCCAGTGCATTCCCACATGGCCCGAGAAGGATGTTTCTTTTTCTTCTTCTTTTTGAGTCAAGGTCTCACTCTGTCACCCAGGCTGGGCAGCACAGTGGCATGATCTCAGTTCACCCCAGCCTCAACCTCCTGGGCTCCAGTGATCCTTCCGCCTCAGTCTTCCAAGTAGCTGGAATCACAGGTGCGCACCACCACACCTGGCTCATTTTGTGATTTATTGTAGAGACAAGATCTCGCCATGTTGCCCAGGCTGGTCTCGAACTCCTGAGCTCAGGTAATCCTCTCACCTCTGCCTCCCAAAGTGCTGGAATGACAGGTGTGAGCCACCATGCCTGACTGTGCTGACATCTTGACTGCAGTCTCATGAAGGCTCCTGAACCAGAACCCCCAGCTAAGCTGCTCCAGGACCCTCCACTTTCAGAAACTTCATGAAATAATACATAAATATTTTTAAATTCTGGGGCAATCTGTAATGCAGCAATAAATAAATACACTACCTAATTAGATAATAAATCCACTACCTAATTGTCTCAGGGATCACAGACTCACTCAACGGATTCGTGACAACACTGATTTTTGCACAAACCTTCTGGTCTTGGCCTACTGGATCATTTACTTTTCCCTGGAAACACCAGAGTTATTCCTCTGCCCAGGCCTTGGCTCACACCATTTTCCATGCTTGGCATGCCCTCTCCTTCCTGACCCAAGATATCTAAGCTGAGTCTGGGCCAAGTCTTAAAAAAGTAAGAGGACCATGTCAGCCAAGGCTCCCAATTGGCAGGCCGCTGGCTGTAATTAGGTGAATCATTTACATCCAAAGCCCAATCATCCCCCTCAAAGAAAAATAACTACAAAGCCAATAACCCATCTGTTCTCACACAGTCTTCCACAAAAACAAAGCCATGCGTGATCACTGCTACTGTTTGGATATGGTTCCTTTGACCCGACCAAGTCTTGTGTATGAAGCGTGATCCCCAGCATTGGAGGTAGGGCCTGGTAAGAGGAATTTGAGTTGTGGGCGTAGATCCTTCAGGAATGGCTTGGTGCCATTCTCCCAGGAGTGAGTGAATTCTCACTCTTTGTTCCCACAAGAACTGGTTTTGGAAAAAGCCTGGCATCTCCGCTCTCTCACTCGCTTCCTCTCTCACCATGTGATCTCTATACACACCAGCTCCCCTTTGCCTTCCACCATGAATGGAAGCAGCACGCAGTCTTCACCATAAGCTAAACAGATGCCAGCGCCATGCCCCATGTACAGCTTGTAGAAGAGTGAGCCAAACAAACCCATTTTTAAAACAAATTACCCACTCTCAGGATTTCCCTTCTAGCAACACAAATGGACTAAGACAACCCTCGTAGCCAAAATAGCTTTCTCATACCACTCATGTGTCCCCTTTGTGAACTCTTTCTTATAATGTTCTTCCAAATGCCAGTGATCCTTGGGACTCTGTCTTAAGCCCTTTTCATTTCTCATGGTATAGACTTTCTCCCATGGGGATGCTATCTGTTGAGATGGCTTCGTTTCCATCTATCTGGTAGTCACTCATAAATCTCTCGCCAGGGCCAGGAGCAGTGGCTCATACCTATAATCCCAGCACTTTGGGAGGCCAAAGTGAGACAAGTGTCTAAGTCCAAGAGTTTGAGACCAGCCTGAGCAATATGGCGAGACCTCATCTCTGCAATAAATCAAAAAATTAGTTGGGGCGTGGTGGCATGTGTCTGTAGTCCCAACTACTTGGAAGGCTGAGGCAGAAGGATCTCCTGAGCCCAGAAGGCTGAAGATGTGATAGCCATGAGCATGCCACTGCACTCCAGCCTGGGTAATAGAGTGAGACTCTCACTCAAAAAAAACAAAGCAAAGCAAACAAATCTCTCTCCAGTCTAGACTTCTTTCTGAACTCCAGACTTGTCCATTCAATGACCTTTTGGATGCCCCCTGACTATACCTCAAACAGCTGCCCCAAGCTAAACTCTCAATTTTTTCCTGGACCTGCTCCTTCTCCTTAAGTCCACATTTCCATCCAGTCCCCAGGGCAGAACCTGGTAGGACCCCTTGACCTGCCACATCTATGCATCAATCTGGGTGCTTCTACTGTTCTGTCTTCTAGTTCTTGAATCCTTTTGTTCTACTGTTTCTAATCTGCATTAAGCACATCCACTGAGTTCTTCATCTCAGTAATTGTTCTATATTTTCCATTGGAGTCTTTAAAAAAAATGGATTCCAGAAGCCAAAACATGATCTTTCATCTGTTTTCTTGAATTGTTGATCACAGCAGTTTTAAACTTCCCTGTTGAATAATCCAATATATGATTCACTATGACTCTGTTTCTGTTATTGGAGTTTTCTCTTGGTTTCTGGTCAATTAATCCTTTTTATCTTCTTCAGGTTATCTTGTAAGTTCCTCCTGCCCCTGCCAAGGGTCTTGCTGTATTGCCCAGGCCAGAGTGCAGTAGCTCTCCACAGGCACGATCTCATTACTGATCAGCACAGGAATTTTGACCCACTCAGTTCCTGACCTGGGCTGGTTCACCTCTCCTTAGGCAAGCTGGTGGTCCTCTGCTCCTGGGAGGTCACCAGGTTGATGCCAAATTCAGTGGGAACACCGATTCAAGACAGTACACTACAGTTCAGAACTCCTGGGCTCAAGCGATCCTCTCACCTCAGCCTCCAGAGTGGCTGGGACTACAGGCGCGCGCTATCGCATCCGGCTTTCTTATAAGTTTTGATCAGATGCCAGACATTATAGATAAAAATCTGTCAAGGCTCTAAATATCTTATCTTCTTCCAAAGAGGGTTAGGTTTCCTTCCTATCGAGGACTGGACTTGGGCTCATTTAAGGATGGTCTATTTCAGTTGTGCCCTTGCACCTAGGGTGTGATCTGGGGGCAAAGCCTGAGGTGTTTACCAAGCCCTCTCTAGCCTGGCAACCTCCATCTCCCCAGCATCACATGCTTGCTGGAAGCCTTGCTCGGTTCCACAGTTTCCCAGCTACTATTTTTTCCCTTCTGAGCTTCTTGGGCTCTCACCCTACGCATGGACAGCTTGCCAATGACTTGAGGGAAATTTGTTTGCAGATTGGGGACTCCCTTTTCTGTGGTCCCATCTATTCCAGGATTTTAACTCTCATCTTCCAGACATTCTGGCAGCCCCAGACTCCAAGCTCCGTCTTCTCAGTCTAGCGACTCTCTTTCTTCGGGCTCCATTTTCCCTCCACAGCAGCAGATTGGCAAGTGAACTCAGGGAAAAAGCCAGGTTGTCTGTGGAACCCAACTTCTGCGCTTCCCTTATTTCAAAGGTGGTAGTGCCTCAAGCTTCCTCCTTCATTTGCTGCTCTCCAGTGACTTCACATAATTGTTTATTACTTGTCCAGGGTTTGCAGCTGTCATCAGCAGAAGGCTTAGTCTGATAGAAGTGACTCTATTGTGACCAGAACTGCAGGGCTCCTCCCCACATCTAAGCCATCACTAAAGGCCTGCTCATCCTGATTACCTACCTGCCAAATTGCTTTTTGAGTCAGTGTCTCACTCTGTTGCCCTCACTGAAATGCTGTAGCACAATCACAGCTCACCGCAGCCTTCAACTTCTGGGCTTGGGGACTCTCCTACCTCAGCCTCCCGAGTAAGTGAAACTACAGGTGCATACCACCACACCTGGCTATTTTTTTTTTTTTTGATAGAGATGAGGTCTCTTTATGTTGTCTAGGTTGGTCTTGAACTCCTGGGCTCAAGTGATCCTCCCGCCTCGGCCTCCCAAAGTACTGAGCTTACAGGCATGAGCCACCGAGCCCGGCCCCGAATAGTTCTTACCTTGTGAATCCATCTACCGCTCTGCTTACCTGACCCCTTAGTCTGACCAACGCTTCTCCACCTAGCCAGCCTCACATACCTGCCAGTTATTTCCCCTCATGTACTCTTGCTTCCTTCCTTCTGTCCTGAAGTCAGAATAATGTGTTAAAAACACAAATGTGAGTCAGGCGCGGTGGCTCACGCCTGTAATCCCAGCACTTTGGGAGGCAGAGGCGAGAGGATTACCTGCGCTCAGGGGTTCAAGACCAGCCTGTACAACATGGCAAGACCTCATCTCTACAATAAATACGAAACAGCTGGGCATGGTGACACATGCCTGTGGTCCCAGCTATTTGGAAGACTGAAGCGGAAGGATCACCTGAGCCCAGCAGGTGCAGGCTGAGGTGGCCATGAGGGTGCCACTACACTCCAGCCTGGGTGACAGAGTGAGAATCCAACTCAAAAAAATATACAAAATTTAAAAAAATATATAAATGTGATCCTGATGCTCTCTGCCTAAAACCCTTCCAGGACACCCCACTGCTCCCAGGACGAAGTCTGTATTCTCACCACAGCCTACAAGTTCCTGTATAACATGACCCTGCCAAGTTCTTCAGCTCATTTGGCTCTATTTTTTTTTTTTTTTTCCTTCCTGCACGACTTTCGCCCACCAGGGGGCCTTGGCACTTATTGCTTCCTCTGCTGGGAAACACTTCCCACTGGCTTTTTCACAGTCTGATTCCTACTACTCATCCTTCAAGATCCAGCTTAGCCGTGGCTTCCTCCAAGAAGCCTTCCATGCCCTGAGTTGGGTATCTCCCCTGGAGTCTCATAGGCCCTCCCCTTTCCCTCATCTCAGACCCGACCCTTCTGCCTGTGCCTCTCCCATCCTGGCCCTGATCCTTCTGCCTGTACCTTCCCTTCCACAGCCCTGACTATTCTCATCAGTCACTGCCTGGCGATGGGTCTGTCTCCTCTCCTTGCATCTCCCCCACCCT